ATCTGCAGGTCACCCGTCAGGACACGCTGGAGAGAGCTCCTGCATGCGATCCGCAGCCCCTCCGCAGATCCCCCTGAGCTCCCCCGCAACGTCCTAGAGGAGGAGCGAAGGGGAAGTAGGGAACCAGCGCTGGAGGCGCCGCGGTGGCAGTTAGAGAAGTAGGATTTGAGTCCGGAACAGGAAAGAGACATCGGAAAGAGGCTCACCTGGATCTGCCTGGGCTCTCTTCGGGATAAGAGGGAGGGAAAGGAGAACACGGCCGGGTTTCCAAGAGTCTGCTCCCGCAGCCTTTATCAATAAAAGAGAGTTCCAGCATTTCTTGTGGAGTGTTTCCAGACCTGGCCTACCTCAAAGGGCTGGCAGAGGACGGCAGAAGGGGTCAGTTATCTTCTGAAACCTCCTCTTAGTCTGGGATTACGGAGTTCTCTGAACATAGATGGAAAGGTAAAAAGTAATGTCTCCTTTGAGTTGAGCTCAAGTCCTGATGACCCTCCCCCCCCCCGGCATGTCCATAGAAATGGTTTGCTGTTGACCCCTTCCTGGATTATTTGTTGTTCCTGTTGACTTCCCAGGCTAGTCTACAGCTCTAAGACTTCCTGGTGGTCTCCCATCCAAGCGCTAATGTGCCCAAAGCTGCTGACCTTTTCCCAGATGGGCTACGAAGCAAAGTCCTTCAGGGGGATAAATGGTGGCTGGTTGATTTTTGTCCTGTTGGATCGCTGACAACTTTGCCGGCATCAGTCGGACGCCCAAATCCCGTGATACAAGTTGCCCGGGCACCCAGACTGGCCCGCGTGGTCATGGGCTGCTTTTTCAGCCGAGGTTGCAGAGGGTTAGGCCCGGGGAGGGAGGAGGAGAACAGCCGGCCCTGGGTTTCGGATTCTGGATTCCGGGGGTCCCGACGGAATCCCGGAGCGAGCATCCAGGGCGCTGTGGAAGAAGGCCAGAAGGCCAAGGAGCCAGTGAGGGGTGGGTGGAGGGCTTGCAGCACGCCCGGTCTCATGCCACACAGTCGGGCAACCCTGACCCCAACGCGACCCCAGGAAACGACCCTCCCCCGGCCCTTCTTTCCCCCTTCCGCAGGGGAGGAGTGTGAGGACCGGGGCAAGGTGCGTACCCCCACCTGTGCCAACGGCTGTCCACGCACCTGTCTGGATCTCTGGGAGCACGTGGAGTGTCTGCAGGGGCAGTGCAGGCAAGGTAACACGCCTCCACCCACCCCAGCTGTGCAGTCTTCCCGGCCTCCCCCTGGGGCCGAGCTTGGCTCCTGCCCGCCTCTGCCCGGGCTGGCCCTTCTGGGAAAGAGGAGGAGCTGCCCCTCACCGCTGGAGGGGCGCTCCCGGGAAGGGCGCTCTCCTCTCCCAGTACTCAAGGGGGTGATTCCCGTTAAGGGGGAGCCCCAGCGTCCAGGACATGGGAGGACCTGAGCATTGCCTCCCCTCCAACAGGATGCCGGTGCCCAGAGGGGCAGCTTTTGCAGGATGGCGCCTGTGTGCCAACCCAGGCTTGCCGCTGCGGAATCCCCACGGCCAACAGCACCCAGGAAGTTCCTCCTGGGCAGCTGGTGGAATTGGACTGCCACAACTGGTAAGCAGCCAGTTAAAAGTGGGGGGAGGTCATCTCAGGAAAGGGGGTTTCTCTGATGCACCTAGACCCCTTTTGAAACACCGCAAATGCGAAGCTCATTCCGGGTCTTGGGGCGCCCGTCAGTACTGGCAGGGCTGCCTTTCGGCTTGTCTGCTCTTCCAAGCTGAGCATCGGGAGGGCTTGTGGGGGGGTGGCGGCAAGAGAAGAAAGGAGGCTGTCTCAGCCCCCCCGCCCAAGGTCCACCAGCGCAGGGGCTGCCTGCAAGTATCAAGACTCCCAGAAGCCAAGCTGGCCATGCCCTCAAGAGACAAAAGGGGGAGTCCCATCCCCATGTAGTGGTAAATTTGGGGTGCTGAAAAAGATGACAGAGGGGGGGACGCTCAGCTCTTGTTAAGGGGGGTGGTCCAGGTTTTCTGCACTAAGAGCAGCACAGAGAATTCTTCTTTTTGTACGCTACAATCGCCGGATAATCAGGGCAGAAGCACCCCAAAGCTTCTGCCCTGGGGATCAAGGCGCCTCAACGGCACGTTCCGTGTTTGCCTCCCATTTCCTGTCCCCCAGCACCTGCCTGAACGGCACCTTTGCCTGCCCGGGAGAGAAGTGCCCGTCCTACGGCGAATGGTCCGCGTGGAGCCCTTGCTCGGCCAGCTGTGGGGGGGGAAACACCCTGAGGCATCGCCCCTGCCAGGAGAGCCTCCACGGAGCCCCCTGCGCCACCGAGTCCATGGAAGAAGTGATGCTCTGCAACTCCCAGCCCTGTCCAGGCAAGAGTTTGGGGGCTGCCCTGACGGGGAGGGAACGCTGGGTGCAGCCGCCCCTGCTGAGGGTCCCTGGCTGCTACTCGCCATGCGGAGCACCCCAAGGCCATGGGAGGAGGGTCCCACTGGGGTCCCACTGGGACCCCCCTTTCAGGTGCTCCTCTACTTCACAGTCACTTCCAGAGCATATGCAGAGCGCTGGCTGTGTGTCAGCAGAAACAGTCTCCTCGTATCTGCCTTGCCTGCCCCCCAGGCACAGATTGACCCCCAAGCCCTTTCTGCAGCCCTCGTTCCCCTTCTGAAAGCCCCGGGTGCCATCAGTCACAGTTTTTATGCCAACGCAACATGACATCTGCAGTCTGATCCCTACACAGAGCGAAACGTTGTGAAGAAAAACAAAATCAAATCCCCACCCCACCCCAGCCAGGAGAAAAAAACCACCGGTGTGGTATAGTCCTCCCCACTTCGTAACACAGCCCCCGCCCAAAGAGGGCATCCGAGGGGCAAGGGGCAGCGACGCCTCCAGGAGTTCGGCAGAATCCCCAGCCGGCCTGTCCAGCCCCTCCGCAAGGCTGCAAGTGGGGCTGGACCTTCCCAACCCATAACGGCTCCCCTCTCCCGATGCCCAGGGACCGGTGCCTGCCCTGCTTCACCCCCTCCCCGGGGCTGTTGGGATGGGCAGCACTTCCAGCTGCAACTGCCGCTGTCCTGCTTGGGGCAAGAGACCCTGCTCCCCTTTGGAAGGGCAGCTGCCCTGTGCTCCTGACCCCCCCTCCCGGGGCAATACCCCTGCAGCAGAAGCAAGGAGGGGGTCCCCTAGCCCTGCTGATAATGCTCTCCCCCCCAGCTGGCTGCCTGTTGAGCGACTGGACCGCCTGGAGCAACTGCAGCTCCAGCTGTGGAGGAGGGGTCTCTGAGAGGAGCCGCCAGCTGCTGTCCCCTGTGGGGGAGCCCTGCCCCACCCCCCTACTGCAGCACCGAGTGTGCAACACGCACAACTGCACGCCAGGTGAGCCCCCGTGCCTGTTCTGTGATGGCAAGTTGTGTGATGGCTGAGACTGGCACCGGGTACCCAGAGGAGGGCAGCGAGGGGAGGGAGGAATCCGGCTTTGCCAAACGGTGCCAGGGCCAGTGCCAGGGCCTCCCAGCAACACTCCACAGGGGCCCAGCAACCAGCAACTGGAGGGCTGGAGGAGGAGAAGGGAAGGCCCCGTCCAGCTGCCTGACCTCTATACCCACCCTCTGTCCTTCCATGGCAGTGTGCCCTGGGGCCCAAGTCTACCACGAGTGTGCCAACTCCTGCCCGTATACTTGCTCTGACCTGCGCCCGGAAACCCAGTGTCTGCAAGAGGAGTGCCAGCCCGGCTGCATTTGCCCACCTGGCCAGGTGAGTGGCTCGCTCCCTGCCAAGCCCGCCCTGGGGCTCCAAATGTCCCAGCCCCTCTGCACACACAGTCTGAGCCACCTTCTCTCCAACAGGTGCTGCAGGATGGGCTGTGTGTCCCCCCGGACGAGTGCCGCTGCGTGATCGGCCAGGCGCCTGCCTCGCCCTGGGCTGCCAACCTCTCCCAGGAGGAGCGGGCACAGGAGCATCTGCCTGGCAGCATTTTCCGGCACGAGTGCAACAGTTGGTGAGCGGGCAGAGGGCCTGGGCTGCGGGGCCAGTAAGAAGAGGCGAAGAGAAGCTCCCCCCGTGAGACCCCGGGCTTTGCATCCAGCAAAGAGGAAGGTCGACCCAGCCTTCCCCAACCTGGCGCCCACCAGGCTCCTTGTATAGCAGCTCCCATTGCCTGCAGCCAGCTGGTCATCAGCTGTGGGGCTGGGGAAGATGGGAGTTGTAATTGTGTTAAACTCTGGTCCTGTCCCAGCTGTGAAATGGAGGGGTGGACTTCTTAGGGGTGGGAGCAGATCCCTGGCAAGCTCCTTTTCCCACCCCCCACCCCAGGCTGTGGGGGCAGTTTTCCCTTTGAAGGCCTTGAGGGTGCTTCATCGATTTGAGACCCTTCCCCTCCTTCTACTGGGAAAGTAGGGATGATATTATTCTCGTGTGGCTGCACTTTATGCTCACAACAACCCTGCGAGGAAGTTTGGGGATGAGAGAAGCTCAGTGGCTGAATGAGGACTAGAACCCTGCCGTGACAGACTCTGATCTTCTTTGGCCCTGCAGTGTCTGCCGGAGGGGCGTCTTCACCTGCACTCAGGAAGATTGTGATGGTAAGAGGGTCCGGAGACCTTCTCGTGTGCCCTGCTGGCTCCTCTCTGGCAACCACGGGGCGAAGGTCTCCACTAGGCAGCTGGGCGGGGGCTCTGGAGCGAAACAGAAGCGGTCCTCATGCTTGAGCATAGGGGGCTCAGTCTGGGGCGCAGGGCTCTTCATAAATGCTGCCTCTGTGCAGAGAGCACGCCTCTCAGCTGCGAACCCCTGCCGGCCCCCTTCCAAGGATGTTTGCTCAGGGCGTTTGGGGCACTCAGTGTGCCAGGGACGCCTGCCCAGCATGGCTTCTCCCCTCCCCAGTGCCCTGCATCTGGTCCGAGTGGTCTCCCTGGTCCCCCTGCCCCGTCACCTGTGGCACCGGAGAGCAGCTGTCTCGGCGGCACCAGCTCCAGCCGCGCCTATACGGCGGGGCAGAGTGCCAGGGCCCTGCTGTGCGTAGGGCCTCCTGCTTCCTCCCTGGCTGTGGTGAGTTCCAGGGCCCTGCCCTGCCCTGCCCTCCGCCAACACGTCCTCTCCTCTCTGCCCTTCCCATCCCCACCCTGGCAAAAGAGGGCGAGGGGCCTCCTGGAAAGTGGAGGGGAGGCGTCCCTGGGAGGGGCAGCTGTGGGTGGGCCTGGAGCTGGCTGACCCCTCTTGGCCTGACTCATCCCCACTGCAGCCTGTCCAGAAGGGGAACACTGGCGCCGAGCCAGTCCTCCGGCTCCCTGCGAGCGAAGCTGCCGCCAGATCTACGAGGATCTTCCCCAGAACTGCAGCTCAGGGGCAGCGCAGGAGGGGTGTGCATGCCAGCCCGGGCACTACCGGAACGGCAATGGGCACTGTGTTGTGGCTGCCCGCTGCGAGTGTGAGGATGGCAGCCAGATATACTCAGTGAGTACAAGGACAGGAGTGAGAATTCTAGCCACTCCTTCCGGAGAAAATCAACAGCTGTTTCAGAGACATGTTTTTATTTCAACAAGGTGAAATCACAGCTGCCCGTTCTTTAGCTGGTGTTGGCCTTCATTCACACTGAGTTCTTCCCAAGAGCCAAGGATGTCATCATGTATTGGCGTCGTACGTGTGCAGATCCAAGCAGTGTGGCTTTTTATGACTGACAGATGGAAATGTGGTCAATGCGCAGATTTTCTAAGTGCCGTCCAAGGCTTTTTGGCATGGCAGCCAGTGTGCTGATAACCACTGGGACCACCATAACCTTTCAACTTCGATTTTCGGATCTGGTTACTTTACGGCCTTCTCCAACTCTTCGTCTTCTATTCTACTATCCCCTGGTATTGCCACGCTCGGTTATCCACACTTCCTTCTTTTCAGCCACAGTTCAGTCTGGTGCCAAGACTTTTATCAGTTTGTATTTGGAAATTTTTAACCTGCCCATGTTCGACTACTTTTCCAACTCTATGTTCCTATCAATTTTTCATTACTGGCAGATGATAATTTTTACAGATGTTCCAGTGAATCATTTTGACGACTGTGCTATGTCATTGTTTATAGTCAGTTTGTGCAATCTTCTTGCACAAGCTGAGTACACGATCTACTGTTTCTTCTGCTTCTTTGCACAATCTGCACTTTGAATCTTTTGATGGTTTTTCAGTTCTGGCCTTGATTGCATTAGTTCGAATAGCTTGCTCTCAAGCAGCCAAAATCAAGCCTTCGGTTTCTTTTTTTAATGTTCCAGTTATAAGCCACTGCCAGGTTTTATCTTTATCCACTTTCCCCTCGATGTTTTATAGAAATTGACTATGTAATGCTTTTCCTTTCCAGCATTCTGTTCGTGTTTTTATTACATTATCTCAATATTCATGTTTTGTTTCCTGTACAATCAGTAAGTTCCAATTTTCGACTTGTATCAGTGCTTGTTCTCGGCTGTCTTTTACACAGTCAGCCAACGGATGCTTTTCTTCCTGGGCCGTTTGTTTGACCTGAAGCAAACCTCTGCCCCCATTTCTGCGGAGCAGGTATCACTACGGGGATGTAAAGCATAGTGAATGGTCAGGAGTTCTCTCGTCTTCCGGTCCAAACTGTCCAGTTCAGCTTGTGTCCAGTTACTAATCCCAGCAGGGTATCGTATCACAGGTAGCGCCCAGGTATTGATGGCTTTGATGGCGTTTCCGCCGTTCAATTTTGCCTTTAGCCATTTTCTCACTCTTCGGGTGCATTCGTTACTGATCACATTTTTGACTTGTCTGTGCTTGAAGTTACCCAACGGTAAAAGGCCCAGATGCTCGTAGGCTTCATCCTGAGGGCTCCTGATGGTTTGGCCGATTCCGTTCCATTACCGTTCATGATTTTACCCTGACTTATTGCTACCGTAGCACGCTTCTCTAGGCCAAATTCCATTGCTATATCTGTGCTAAAAATTCTTACAGTATTTGTCAATGACTGGATTTCGATTTCTGATTTTCCATAAAACTTTAGATCATCCGTATAAAGCAAATGTGAGATTTTATTAGCATTTTTTGCTGTTGGTGGCCAAGATTTGTTTTTTTCAAAATCACGGAAAGTGGGACCATAGCAATGACAAATAATAAGGGTGCTAAAGAGTCATCCTGGAAGATGCCTCTCCTGATCTTGACAAGCCTATACTTTTCAATTCCAACCACCAATTCTGCCTTCCGCTGCTCCATTAGTTTTCCAATACAGATTCTGATGTTTTTGCTGACGTCAGTTGTTTCCAAACATCTGATGATCCAACTATGTGGCAATGAATCAAACGCCCTTTTATTGTCAATCCAGACCATATGTAAATTGGTCTCTCAGCTTTTGCAATCCTCCAAAACCATTTTATCAGTCAGAAGTTGATCTTTTGTACCTCTGCTTTTTCTTTTATTTCCTTTCTGTTCTACTGGAAGGATGTTATTTTTTTCAAATAATCTTGGATGTTGTCCACTATTATGCCAGTGAATAATTTAAACATTATAGGCAAGCCGGCAATTGGCCTGTAGTTTCCTGGTGGTGTCCCTTTCACTGGGTCTTTCTGAATCAGATAAGTTTTGCCAGTTATCAGCCAGTCGCTGATGTCTCTCTTATGCAATACTTCATTAAGCTGTTTGGCTATAATTGGGTGTGAGCTTGTCGGATATTTGAGCCAAAAGCTGTGCAACGGATCATTTCCAGGAGATGACAGGGGGGTATCCATGGACAGGTTGTTGTTGTTATCATAT